GTGTCAAAACTGACACTGACCGAGTTTCGCCGAGTCGGACTGGGCCAAGAAAAAAAGAAAGCAAGTAGACCCATTACCCATTTGATTGACCTCTCCCGTTGCAGAAGAAAATTTCAGTGATGAACTGAACAGATCGAATTGGGCTCATACAAAATCCGTAAATTAAAAAGGAGATCTTTCAAGTTTGGGTTTTTTTTTTTTTTTTTTTTTTTTGGGATACCGTTTTCAGACAATGAAGGCGGCGGCGGTGGATGGTCTGAATCCGCCTCCTGTAGCGACGTTTGATCACAAGAGGTGTGTTCAATTCTGTCGGTGGTGTTTTTTTTCATTTTATTGGACTTGATTGGACTAACTCTTTATTTATTTATTTATTTTGTTAAATGGGTTATTGCATTGATTTCTTTTTGATCTGTTACTTTGTAGTTTAAATCTTAAGTGTTTTTGAGGGAAATATAGATTTATTTTAGATTTTTTTTAGTCGATTTCGGGTTCTACCGACATTACCAAAGAGATCATGTGTGACTATGGAAAAAGAAGATAAAATAAAAATTAATTAGAAAAAATGTGGTTTACTGACAGTGATTAATGTTTGTGTTATAAATTTGTGATACGCATGTTAGTATCGTTCCCGTGTTTTGAGTTTGCCCGTTTTCTGTGTTATCTTGATGATTTGAATGAGTTTATAATCTTCACTTTGCTGTATCGGTGTATTCAAGAATTAGTATTTGTTTAAACTGGTTGTATTTCGTCGGACTAATGTCCGAAATGTAAACGTGGAATGTCGAATTAGGCGTCGTCGCAAAAATGCTAAACGAACGCAGTTATGTACTGATATACGTGTCTTGTTATTTGGTGAGATTCTCTTTTATGTTTCTATTTATCTTAAAATAAAATCGGGTTCAAGGTAAACGAATGCAGCTATATACCGATATACGTGTCTTGTATGTGCCTCGATTATTTTGATTTTTCTTTGTTAAAAAAATTGCTCGTTGGCTTGAATTTTGCAACTGTTTTTTGAACTTATATAAACAGGGATTCGTACGGGTTTGCAGTAAGGCCTCAACATTTACAACGATACCGAGAATACGCAAATATATACAAGGTTCTTGATAAATTTTTTTAGTAACCGAAAAAATTATTGAAGTGGCTATTGCATGTTGTTCATGCACTTATTATCTGATTTTTAGGAAGAAGAGGAGGAGAGATCGAACCGGTGGAACGACTTTCTAGAAAGACAACGTGAATTGAACGACAACGACTTACAAAAGTCAGACCTCGAATCAACCATTTCTACAGAAGAGAATAAAGAACCGCATGCAGTAGAATCTAAAGTTGAAATATGGACAGAAATCAGACCATCTCTTCGTGTTGTAGAGGATGCAATGAGTTCCCGTGTGAAGAAAAAAGTCAACTCGGTCAAAAACAGTCAAGATTCTTCTAGTGCGAAAAAGCATCTTCCTCCGATTGAAGAGGCTAAACCTGGAAAAGGAGCATCTGAAGAGGATTCCGAGGAAGAGTTTTACGATTTGGAAAGATCGGAATCGGATTTGGACATTGCATTAATCGATAATATTATAAATCGAGAATCTTCACCACCTTGGAAGGAAGAATTAGAGTGTCTTGTTCAAGGAGGGGTTCCTATGCCACTAAGGGGAGAGGTAGAGATTATTATTTATTACACATGTTTCATTTTACGTGTTTTTATTTATTTTTATTTTCTTGAAATTTGCAGATGTGGCAAGCTTTTGTCGGTGTTAGAGCGCGTCGAGTGGAGAACTATTATCAGAATTTGCTTTCTCCAGATAGTGAGGTGCCCGATAAATTGAGAGCACAGATTGAGAAGGTTAATTGATTTTTCTTTACTTATGAAGTTCTTTTTATTTATTTTTTTTAATTCTTGAAATCCAATTATTTTATTACTTTTTGCAATTTAGGATTTACCTCGTACTTTTCCGGGTCATCCTGCTTTGGACGAGGATGGTAGAAATGCTTTAAGACGTGTACTAACAGCTTATGCTCGACATAATCCTTCTGTTGGCTATTGTCAGGTATTTTATTTTCTCGGATTTTTATTTTATTTTCTTGATTTTTTAATCTTCGATAAGTGCTTTCGAATTTTGAAGGCTATTGCTATTTTCCGATTTGTGCAGGCCATGAATTTCTTCGCAGGCTTGTTGCTGCTTCTGATGCCAGAGGAAAACGCATTTTGGTGGGTCGAAATATTTGTTCAATTAATTTGTTTTCCATGTTGAATTAATAATTGTCGAATTAATTTTCGAGTACGTAAAAAAATGCTTATTTGCTCGATTTTCCAGGACTTTAATGGGTATTCTAGACGACTATTTTGACGGCTATTATTCAGAAGAAATGATAGAATCTCAGGTACGTATTACTTGTTCAAATGGATATATAATATAAATAAAGTTTCGTCTATTTAACTCTCTCGTCACAGGTTGACCAACTCGTTCTCGAGGAGTTGGTTCGTGAAAAGTTTCCCAAATTGGGTTCGTCCCTTTTGATCCTTTCGATTTCCACTTTATTTATTTATTTAATTTTTTTTTATATATTTTTTTTTCTCATTACACCTTTGTCGTAAACGTGCCACAGTAAATCATTTGGATTACCTAGGAGTAGAGGTGGCATGGGTAACCGGACCATGGTTCCTCACTATATTTATGAATATGCTTCCATGGGAAAGCGGTTCGTTTATTCGTATAACCGTATTCTACTTTTCTTTAAATAAATAATGCAATTTTTTTCCCGAGAAATATATCTTTTTTTTACCTAATAATTTCAATACTTCTTACAGTTCTTCGAGTGTGGGATGTGCTTCTCTTCGAAGGCAACCGCGTAATGCTATTTCGAGCGGCACTCGCATTAATGGAGTTATATGGTACTTAATTTATTTTTTACACGAAATTTTAATTATTATTTTTATTATATATATATATTTTATTATACACGATAAAACTTATCTTTGCCCAGTTTTGTGCAGGACCTGCATTAGTTACAACAAAAGATGCTGGAGATGCAGTCACACTGCTTCAATCTTTAGCGGGGTCCACTTTCGACAGCAGTCAACTCGTGTTGACTGCTTGCATGGGATACCAGACTGTTATAGAAGCTCGATTAAGAGAATTAAGAGATAAACACCGACCTTCTGTTAGGGCCGCATTGGACGAAAGATTCAAGGGAGATAAAATTTGCAAGAAATCACCCGGTTTAGCTTCTAAGTTGTATAGTTTTAAAAAGGTTCCAGGTTCGATGGACGTAAGAAATGACGTGGATAAGAAGATGAACGGTGACGTGGCGCATTTGGACACGTCATCTGTTGATGCCGCTGATGTGGAGAAAGATTCTGCTAAAGATCTTGAAGAGCAGGTGGATTTTTTATATTTTTTTTTGGTAATATATTTTTTTCTAAAGTTGAAATTTCGTAAAAATCGAATCTTTTTTTTTCTTCAGGTGGTGTGGCTTAAGGTTGAGTTGTGCAAGCTGCTCGAGGAAAAAAGATCTGCTGAGCTCAGGTTGATATATATAATATATTCGTTTTTATTGAATTTTAAATGGATTTTATTTGGGGTGTATTTGTGGGGCCCACATATAACCGGCACATAGTGACTGTGTTTATGTTTTTCTTTTACAGAGCAGAAGAGCTTGAAACGGCACTGATGGAGATGGTTAAACAGGATAATCGGCGACAATTGAGTGCAAGGGTATCGTCGGAAAAGCTTGATTTGCTCGGCTTATATATATATATATATATATATATATATATATATATATATATATATATATATATATATGTTGTCCTTTTCTTCTTTTAGTTTGCTGACTAGATTTTTTTTATAAAAAATCGACTCTTTCTTAGGCTGAGCAGTTGGAGGAAGAGATAACCGAGCTTCGGCAAGTTCTTGCTGATAAGCAGGAACAAGAGGGTGCCATGCTTCAGGTAAAATTATTATTGTTATTATTATTAATTATTTTAATATTTTTTTCTGACATGAATTTTTTTTTAATTTTAAAAAAAATAGATTTTGATGAGGGTAGAACAAGAGCAGAAGGTGACTGAGGATGCTCGTTTATTTGCGGAGCAAGATGCTGCTGCACAGAGATATGCTGCTCAAGTGCTCCAGGTTTATTTTGCTGAAAAAAAAATATTCCTCTAATATTTAATATCCCTTTATTCGAATTTTTTTGTAATTTAAATTTTAATTGAAATATGTATATGCAGGAGAAATACGAAGAAGCAAGTGCTGCTTTGGCGGAGATGGAAAATAGGGCTGTAATGGCAGAGTCCATGCTGGAGGCTACTTTGCAGTACCAGTCGGGACAAAATAAACCGCAGCCTTCTCCTCGGTAAAATTCACTTCTTCAAATATATATATAAATCACTAAATTATATTCCATTTTTCGTATTTCGAAGTTCAATTATTTCTTGTTTATTTGCAGATCTGTGCAACAAAATAATCAAGAATCTTCACAAGATATAATACCGCCAAGAAAGATCAGTTTGCTCTCGAGACCGTTTGGATTAGGATGGCGCGACAGAAACAAGGTATAATTCAATTTTGTAGCTATTTTAAATTTCCTACTCGAGCCAAAAAAAAAAAAAAAAATCAAATTTTTTTTTTAATGCGACAGGGGAAGCCCGTGATTGTGGAGGAACAAACGAATGGAAAATCGTCATCGAACGAAGGAGAAAAATTAAGCCTGAAGCAGGAAGAGAGCAATGGGCATCAGGTGGAAGAGAAGGCATAAAAATCGAGTTTTTCGTCGTTCTTATTTTTCATACGAGAGAGAGAGTTAATGTTTGTTTTCTTTATTCATTTAAATTGTGAGTAAAGAAATTATAAGAAAGGTTTTAGTGAAATTGTAGTATTTTTCTTGTAAAAAAAGCATCCTCTTTGTAACTGTGCAATATAAATTCTTATCCTATGTAGAAAAATTGCAGTTCAATATTTATGATATTATTTATAAATTGACGCATTGATTCGGAATTTTTTTTAGTACTTGTTTTCGTTTTATCGAGGGAAAAATTGTTTTAGATGAACAATTTGAGAATGAAAGTAATGTTGGTTTATATTATGTTTTTATATTTTAGCATTTGAATTTTAGAGAAATTTTTGGAAAAATATTTTGAAGAAAAAAAAAAAGACAAATTACGAGCAACACATTGAGGTTAGGTCAAATTACGAAAAAACCCCTCTTGTTTAGGTAATTACTACAACCACCCATTAACTATGTATCATCTTACACCCCCACCTTTACGGTGTCAAATTTAGCTACCGAAGAAGGAATTTTAGTAAGAAAACACATAATTGAGGAGCAGTTGTAATTATCTAAACATGAGGGATTCTTTTGTAATATGACCTTCCCTCAGGGGCATTGCCGCAATTTTCCCAAAGAACATATCGATTCATTTCGAGTAACAGCAGAAACAAAGCCAAAATGCTACCAAAATATATGAAATAATATAATGTTTATAGCAACTTATATTAACATTTTAGATACAAAAGCCCTTATATATCAGGGAAAATACGACAAACGAACCCGAAAAAAGAAAAAGAACAAAAATTCGAAAATCTTCACAAAATCAACATGTCTTTGTTGACCAATTCAACCTCCTTTTTTTTTATTTCACTTTTCGTTTTTATACCAGGCTTCATCATCGTGATTGGTCGGATTATTTTTCTTGAATTGTTGTTTACCTTCGAATTCTTGGAGTGGTGGGGCCGGAATTAGGCCTTTGGGGGGGCTGAGTATCGGGGTCGTATTTTTGTGAAGCAAGATAAGTTAAAGCGGTAACAACGTCTGCGATGAGTGGACGCATATTCGGCTGCTCTTGCACACACATTGCAGCTACTGCAAGCGCTTGGTATAATCCTCGAGACGGGTATTGACCTTGCAGCATTGGATCCGCCATTTGCGAGAACTTTCTTCGGTCTTTAAATAGTGGACGAGCCTGCAAAATCATGGAAAATTCGGAAATCGGAATGAAAAAACTTGTTCTGAAATCGGAAGTTTTTTCGGATCGGAATCGGTGGAATTTGGAATTTTCCTATTTTTTACATACTAATATTGATAACACAAAGTGCAATTTTCAAAGAAGAAAACCAAAATCGGAACTCTAGGGTTTTTATTTTTCTTTCGGAACTTAAAATTGGATCGGAAATCGGAATCTAAAATCGGGTTTTTTGGAAATTAAATCGGAGTGGAATCGGAATCTAATATGTATTCCAATTCCGTTCCAAAAAAAAGGCGTAATTTCTAAAACTTGAACGAAAAACATTCTTCCAAAATCGGAAACTTCAGGATAAAAATCAGCGGAATTCGGAATTTCCAATTTTCTAGTCACCTAAATAAAAATACATAATTAATATTGATATTACAAGTGTAATTTTCAGGAAATTCTTTTTTTTTTTTTTTTGATATTTTTTAAAATTAAAATCGGATTGAAATCAGAATCTAATACCTATTCCAAAAATAAAAATCGGGGAAATCAAACTTTCGAATAAAAAAAAACATTGTTTCAAAAGAAATTTCTAAATTTCTAATACTATAGACAAAGCAAAAGACATTCTTACCCAAGCAACAAGATTATGTTCGCCGCCGGATCTTGAATTATCGATTGCCTTTCTTCCCGTAATAACTTCTAGAAGCACAACCCCAAAGCTATAAACATCGGATTTCAATGTGAGCTGTCCAGTCATAGCATATTCCGGCGCACAATATCCATAAGTTCCCATAACTCTCGTCGAAACATGCGTATTATCCCCTACGGGCCCCAGTTTAGCCAATCCAAAATCAGACAACTTAGGATGATATTCATTATCCAATAAAATATTCGAACACTTCAAATCTCGATAAATAACCGGCGGATTCGCTTTGTCGTGCAAGTACTCCAATCCCTTTGCTGCACCGGCAGCCACTTTCATTCTCGTGTTCCAATCGAGACGTTTTTTATCAAGCGGAAGATCTGTAATAATAAAGTGATGGATGAGTATTTTTTTATTTTTTTTAGTGTAATATTTTGTTATGGTTGTTATAATAAGTAAATATATATTATTACCGTGAAGATGGTCTTCTAACGAGCCTAGTGGCATGTATTCGTACACCAAAAGTCTTTGATCTCCATCGGCACAGTATCCGATTAGGTTTACTAAATTCGGGTGATGAAGAAGACTCAACATTAATACTTCGACCAGAAATTCTCTGTTTCCTTGCAAACCGTTTCGATCGAGTTGTTTTATAGCCACAATCTACACAAACCCACAATTTCATTTTGTTAAATAAAAGCTTCGAGAATCGAAATTGATGATATAGAATTGAACACATTAAAAAGCAGCTCATAATGCGCAGATAAAAACTCAATCTTTAGTGCATTTCTTTTCACTTGAAAATCACTTCAACCAGAAATTCTCAGTTTCCTTGCAAACTATCGAGCGAGTTGTTTTATAGCCAAAATCTACACGGGCCCACAATGTCACTGTGTGTAATAAAAGTTTCGAGAATTGAAGCGTAGATAAAGATTCAGTCTTTGGTAGTATTTTAGAGCATTTAGTTTCAGATGAAGTTGAATAAAGAAACCCGATTAGTGCTAATCCACTGCATCAATAACGATAGACGAAAATAAATAAATAAACCTGATTAGTGCTTTCTAATCTTCCTTGATACACTCTGCCGAATCCGCCTTCGCCTAAAAGACAATCTGCTCGGAAATTCTTGGTAGCCGAAGCCAATTCACGAAAGGTAAAAGTGTGGGCCGCGATGTAACCAGATCCTCCATCTTTATAACCTTCTTTCTTTATATCAAATGATGGATTCGCCTTTAGTTTTTCTTCAAGAAAAAAAACACAAATTAAAATCAGTTACACTTATCAAAAGCGACGAACACGAGAAATGAATCTATAAAAGTTCATTACAAATTATAACTGTACAAGGGAACAGTTCCATTGTAATGAAATGCAACATAATAAGCTTTAAATTAGTTCTGTAGACATCGAAATTTTGAGATAAATTACTAGATAATAACCAAAATAAATCGATTACTAATTTAGGTCTCAAATTAAAGTCCATAACTTATTTGGGCTTCAAAATGTCTGCGAAACCCTAAATTGTGCCAAGAAACCCTAGCTTGTGCCTATAAAAGAAGGTCTTCGGTGCATGCGAAAGTCAAACTCACATAGACACAAATCGAGCTTCTCAAGCTCAAGTCTCGAGCCTCCGCCGCGAATTCATAACATATTTAAATTCAAGGTGTATGTATACATATATATTTCTTTGATTCAAGAACACGCTTCTAAGCCCTTGAATCATGGGAATTCCCGGAGATATGATTCCCGGAGATTGTAATCCGCTTTCGTTTGATTAATAAATTTATTTGTTTACAGATTCGAAAAAATTGTGGTTTACAAAGTTCCAATTCCATCCATATGATTCTCATGGTTCCATAGCCACCCAATACACACACACACACACACACACACAGAGTACAGAGATGCAATCAAAATAAGGCAAGATTACTCATTAATCTGCATTGGGAAGTGGGAATTCAGAAGGGGGAAAATGGAGAAGATGTAAAGATTGAAACTTTATGCAGAAAAAACAATAGATATAAAATTAAAATTACCTATAGTTGACGAGATCTGATGATCAGGGTTGTTGGGCTGTTGTTCTTTCTTTTGTTTCTTCTTTGATTTACCAGTGCAAAGGAACCACCCCATTTTCTCACTCTACTTCTACACTGTTAACCCTATCTCTCAACTAATTTATTTGAAGAGAGAGAAAGTAATGGCAGACGAAGAAGAAGAAGAAGAAATGGGCAAGAAAGACAGAGGAGAGAGAGAGAGAGATGAGAGAGAGAGAAGGGTTCAATTTTTGACAGGGGGCTGGCTCTTTCTAGTTTCTAGTCTAGTGTATATATTTTCTGTTTTTGCATTATTGGCCCTTCTTTTTTTGGTTTATTTTCAAACCAGCTGTAAACTTTTTCTGCAATTGATATTTCGCCCATTCCTAGAAAACAACGTACTTTTCGTATACCAAACTAGAATAACCGACAAGCTCGAGCTAGTGAACGTTGGCAATAAGATTCGAACTTTGGTCAATTTACACATGACCAGTCTGAGTTTTGATTATTGTGACTATTTGGTTATTCTATCCAAGTATTGATATTTTATGTAAAAGGACTTGTACTTTTACAATAATTTATTTTTCTCCCCAAGATTAGGGGGGACAAACAAACAAAATCCAAAAGCCATAAGTTCTGGGCTAGTATACAATAATTCGCCGCTAATTTTACTCTTTTGCGAGAGAATCTAGGATTCTAGTAGCTACTTGCCACATATTGTTTTTTTTTTTTAATATATATATATATATATATATATATATATATATATATATATATATATAGAGACGTGAAACATGCATCACATTGCATAACCATTGATTTATGTATATGTATAATACCGGTAAACATTACCGAGCCAAACCCCAAGTTCGTATTGGGCACGTATATTTACAAGTGAATATAGTACTGATTTCGACAAAATACCATATCCAACGTAATAATACTGCAGCTTTTCATGTTTTTCCAAAAGACAAGTCACTAAATTCTCGAGTAAAGTTCAAAACATATATTCAAAAGAATAGCATTGTACTAGTTATCTTTCTTGTCTGATCCTCGATATTCAGGTTTGAGCTTGTATGACCCTTGATTGGCACCATTGTCGATGTACACGCACAGAAGCTTCAGCATATCTTTGAGAAATTGCTGCCAATTAAAGTGAATATAGACACATAAGTACTAATTTGATGCAAAGCCTTAAATGCAACTCTAACTATTCAACAAACATATCTACTTTTGTTATTTCATTTTTCATTCTCTCCTTTTACAATAATGCTAAAGAAACCGTGAAACTGATGCAAACGGATTTGGAATGAGGTCATACACTATGTATTTTGTCAAGTTGGGAGGTTTTTATATTTTACAACAAAATTGAGTCAATGGTGCACTACCTACTAGAACACATACCCCTTAAACGCACACTAACTCTGCATCCATACAAAGCGCTTCCGCAAAACACAAACTAACATGAATACGCATTAACACACATGCACATAAACACATGGAAAAAAAAAAGCAGAAGCAGAGATATGCTTAACTTATACATTTTAATTGGCTTAAATGAGTGCAGCATTCCATTGCTATAGCAATATATAGCAAAATTTGAAGGAATTTAGAAGCCTTGTAGAAAGACTGAAACTGAGGGTGTAAGAATAAGAGGCTGAACCAATATTTTTTATATCGTAGGGGTTTAAACCACGAATCAAGAACCAAGAACCAACGCAGAAACGATGATACGAGAGAGAAAATATTGAGAAAGTCTGAATCACAAACCCATGTAGAAACTAAAACAGCGGATATAAGAACAATCACCAAATCACTCTATTGTTCCTTTTGAACAGAATCAATCAAACTCCAACCATTCACGATATTCCCCTCCAAAATGACAAAGAATGGTTCCTTTTTAATTTCCTATAACTCCAATACATTTCATTAAGGAATTACAAAAACCAAATATTTAAAGAATAACCTCGCTAGCCAAGTCATCGTCGTCAGAAAACGTTGCCTCATAATCCAAGCCCATGCCTAGAGAAGATGAAAGATTATGTAATATTCAGTTTAGCCTAAATTAGTGTATAGTTGTTATTATATTCCTAGAATAGATTCCTTGTAAATGTTATATAAACATTCTTATGTATTCTCTGGAAGATATAATGAATATACAGAAGAAAGAGTTTTTTATCAGACACTACCTCTTTGATTATCGCTTTCGGTAGTTGGCCTTTTCTCAAGAAACCTGTTTTCGACTGCAGACCTCCAAGTGAGCATGCCGTTTCTGATTCGTTCTGCCTCATCCAATGTGTACCCAAGATTTGCTGAATCTTGATGAAATTTGTACCTAAGTTTAACATAGATAAGGTCATGAATCAAGGTATGCAAAATTGGGATGAATGTTGTATACTTACCAAGGTCCAGCAGGGTCAGCGACAAATTCTTCACCCACACGCCTAAGAATGTAGTAATTGAATGGCTGTGTCGGACCCCCCGTAACCCCAACGAGCCATAATAAAAGCCTGTGTCATTGCTTATCCACATATGCGGACTACGGTAGTTCTCCTATATAATGTAGCTATTAGATATATAAAGCAAAGAAAAAATGTATGAATTCCAACATTTGATAGTACGGAAAGGTCAAAAGGTCAAATGAATACCGGTCGAGAATAATCACTCTGCACATCTTGCTCAATGAAATAGGGTAATTCCTTTAAAAATGTCCCTACAATCAGATTTGTATCTATTCCCTCACGGATAGTGCATTCCTAAATTATACGAAGAATATGATACAATTATAAAAAACAATACCAAATTCGAAATACAAAAACATAAAAATTGTTAAATGCACAAACGAAAAACAGCAAGTGCTCGGTACCTTCAACAGCTCCGTAACCTCCAATTCACAGTAGCATGTCGTTTCTCCCGAAGTGCTGGCGCAATTAGCGCACAACATCACGTGCCGATTCATACCGGTTCACAGTTCATTTTTTCCGGAACTGGAACCGGCCCGTAATATGCATAGTTCGGCGGGCCGGGTCGGCCCGCCGGTTCAGGCCGGTTCCGGGTCGGCCCGAAAATTTTGATTTTTTTTTATTTTTTTTTGGAAATATTTGATGAATAAGTAAATTATAGGAAAAATTGGAGTGTGAGGGTATTTATAGGAAAGATTCGAGGGGGGGGGGGGGGAATTAAAAAAAAAAAAGCAAATAACAGCCAGTTCATCCGGGCCTGTTCACCGGGCCGGTTCACTAGCCATTATTTGTTTTTTTTTTTTTTTTTTGAATTTTTTTTTTTGAAAAAATCCGGGTTAACCGCCGGGCCGGCCCGGCGGTTCACGGTTCACCATTTCATAGAACCGGGCCCGTCCCGGGGACGACGGGCCGGTTCACCGGTCAACGGATTGGGCCGGGTCGTCAACGGGCCTGTTCGGGCCCAAAACCGGCACATGGCCGTGTCTAACGTGCCCGCACACACTTTGATAGATTTCCAAGGTCGAACTGCAGATCTGACATTGATTATCCATCGCTCGGTTAGGGTTTTCTATGGTATTTGAGATTTGCGATTTGTGCGATTTGGGATTTGCGATTTGGGCGATTTGGGATTTGCGATTTGCGAATGCAACTCTGTTCTGAATAACTGAATTATATTAATATAATAAATTCAAAAAAAAAAAGCAAATAACAGCCAGTTCAGCCGGGCCGGTTCATTAGCCATTATTAGCTTTTTTTTTGAATTTTTTTGATTTTTTTTTTGGAAAAAATACGGGTGAACCGTCGGGCCGACCCGGCGGTTCACGGTTCACCATTTCATAGAACCGGGCCCGTCCCGGGGACGACAGTCCGGTTCACAGGTTCCGGGCCGGTTCATCGGTCAACGGGTTGGGCCGGGTCGTCAACGGGCCGGTTCGGGCCTGTTCCGGGCCCAAAACCGGCCCATGACCGTGTCTAACGTGCCCGCACACACTTTGGTAGATTTCCAAGGTCGAACTGCAGATCTGACATTGATTATCCATCGCTCGGTTAGGGTTTTCTATGGTATTTGAGATTTGCGATTTCTGCGATTTGGGATTTGCGATTTGGGCGATTTGGGATTTGCGAATGCAACTCTGTTCTGAATAACTAAGTTATATTAATATAATAAATTCAAAAAAAAAACAAATAACGGCCAGTTCATCCGGGCCGGTTCACTAGCTATTATTTTTGAATTTATTTGATTTTTTTTTTTGAAAAAATCCGGGTGAACCGCCGGGCCGGCCCGGCGGTTCACGGTTCACCATTTCATAGAACCGGGCTCGTCCCGGGGACGACGGACCGATTCACGGGTTCCGGGCCGATTCACCGGTCAACGGGTTGGGCCAGGTCGTCAACGGGCCGGTTCCGGGCCCAAAACCGGCCCATGGCCGTGTCTAACGTGCCCGCACACACTTTGGTAGATTTCCAAGATCGAACTGCAGATCTGACATTGATTATCCATCGCTCGGTTAGGGTTTTCTATGGTATTTGAGATTTGCGATTTCTGCGATTTGGGATTTGCTATTTGGGCGATTTGGGATTTGCGATTATGGCGATTTGCGATTTGCGAATGCAACTCTGTTCTTAATAACTAAATTATATTAATATAATAAATTCAAAAAAAAACAAATAACGGCCAGTTCATCCGGGCCGGTTCACTAGCCATTATTTGCTTTTTTTTTTTTTTCTGATTTTTTTTTTTTTGAAAAAATTCGGGTGAATCGCCGGGCCGGGCCGGCGGTTCACGGTTCACCATTTCATAGAACCGGGCCGGGCCCGTTTCGGGGACGACAGGCCGGTTCACGGGTTCCGGGCCGGTTCACCGGTCAACGGGTTGGGCCGGGTCGTCAACGAGCCGGTTCCGGGCCCTAAACTGGCCCATGGCCGTGTCTAACGTGCCCGCACACACTTTGGTAGATTTCCAAGGTCGAACTGCAGATCTGACATTGATTATCCATCGTTCGGTTAGGGTTTTCTATGGTATTTGAGATTTGCGATTTGTGCGATTTGGGATTTGCGATTTGGGCGATTTGCGTATGCAACTCTGTTCTGAATAACTGAATTATATTAATATAATAAATTCAAAAAAAAATAAATAACGGCCAGTTCATCCGAGCCGGTTCACTAGCCATTATTTGTTTTTTTTTTTTTTTTTTTTTTGAATTTTTTTTTTTTGAAAAAATCCGGGTGTACCGCCGGCCCGGCCCGGCGGTTCACGGTTCACCATTTCATAGAACATGGCCCGTCCCGGGGACGACAGGCCGGTTCACGGGTTCCGGGCCGGTTCACCGGTCAACGGGTTGGGCCGGGTCCTCAACGGGCCGGTTCGGGCCGGTTCCGGGCCCAAAACCAGCCCATGGCCGTGTCTAACGTGCCCGCACACTTTGGTAGATTTCCAAGGTCGAACTGCATATCTGACATTGATTATCCATCGTTCGGTTAGGGTTTTCTATGGTATTTGAGATTTGCGATTTGTGCGATTTGGGCGATTTGGGATTTGCGATTAGGGCGATTTGCGATTTGCGAATGCAACTCTGTTCTGAATAACTGAATTATATTAATATAATAAATTTAAAAAAAAAAGCAAATAACGGCCAGTTCATCCGGGCCGGTTCACCCGTGCCGGTTCACTAGCCATTATTTGTTTTTTTTTGATTTTTTTTTGATTTTTTTTTTTTGAAAAAATTCGGGTGAACCGCCGGCCCGACCCGGCGGTTCACGGTTCACCGTTTCATAGAACCGGGCCCGTCCCGGGGACGACGGGCCGGTTCACGGGTTCCGGGCCGGTTCACCGGTCAACATGTTGGGCCAGGTTGTCAACGGGCCGGTTCCGGGCCCAAAACCGGCCCATGGCCGTGTCTAACGTGCCCGCACACACTTTGGTAGATTTCCAAGGTCTCCAGCGTTGACCTTTTTTTTTTCTTCGGATTTTTTTGCCGATTTCCGACGTTCACTCTTTTTTTCCTTCATATTGATGTGATTGACAGTAATATTAACTATATTCCTATTAAACACAGTAAAATTAACTAAACTACAGTTTAACACATTAATATTGCTATATTAATCTCTAGCAATTACTATTAACACAACAAAACTCATTATTATTGTGTAATAGAGTAATATTACTATGTTGACCATTCAACAAATGTAAACACAATAAAAAGCCAAAATAATTAATATTACTATAACAACAGTAATATTACCGTCAACCACAGTAATATCTTATATATAAAAGAAAGAAACGATGGCAACCCTAAAAAATCCTCATGGTTTTTCTGTAATTATTTATTTTTAATATCTTTTTCTACTAATTTTTTTACTTCAATTTTCAACAATTATCAATCTCCTATTTTTCATCAATATATTTCAAATCTTAAGAGATAAACATAGAAATTCGATTTGTTAAACCTTAATCTATATATTTTGATTATAAATCTTAATCTGCAATATTTAACAAAACTAATGTTGTATATAATATGAATAATACTACATTATTAAATTTTACTATGTACTATATTTTCTTATTATGTATTAAATTGATTATTATTTTTCAATTTTTAAATAAATTTTTTTGAAAAGAGAAAGTTTTTGAAGAAAAAAAGTCAAAATTGGATTTTTGTGGTCAAAACTGGATTTTTTTGGGACAAAATTGATTAAATTGCGGTTACAATTAAGAATGGGTATAAAAGGTTGGTGGTAATATTGTCATATACATGAATATTTCATTTATTTGAAATAAATATTAAAAGGATGTGTTTATTGGTGAAAGAAATATAACCCCTAAACCTAGAATAATAAAAATGCTTAGTTAGAGACTTATGCACATTATTTAGATTTAGATGTGAAATTAGTTAGTGTTAAAATTACAATAATAAAAATATGTAACAAAATGATAGCGCAGTTGCACACAGCGTACAATTGGGAAAAACATTTGGAACAATAAAAAAGATTGTTGGTACACACATGGTCGTCCAACAAGAATGGAGATGTAAGAAATATTGTAATGAAATCGAAAAACAACAGTCGGTCTCAAATCAACATCATCAAATGCAAACAAATTTATGAAAGCAATGTTAAGAGACGAGATGAATTCCCAAGGTAATTACTGGAGCAAGTCGTTACCCTTTGTGTAAGAAAAAGGACATGAATAATTACAAGGCAAAGTAGAAGAGAAAATCTGATCGTGCCAGTGCATACGCTTCCAAGCTAAGAACTCAGGCTTTTGATTCACATTTGTTGAAGATTTAGATAATCTTCTAGCCTATAGAGTGGCGAAGAAAATAAAAGCACAAAATAATCTCTACGACAGCAGCACATAAGAGGGCCAACAAACAAGTAAATAACGAAAGCAACTAACCTTGTCAGTATAAGGTGGTGGTTAGCCGTGTTCCGACTTTTTTAATATTACGAACACTGTCCGACACGTGTGTCCTAATTTTAGCGAAATTACGACACGGCTCGATACGGGTGTCCGGGCGTGTTCGAGTGTCCAAGTGTCGGATACAGGGACTCGTCACCTCCTAGAAGTGTCCGTGCAGCATAGGTACTCTTTATAAGTAGTTGTTAATAATTAATATACATACATAGAATTGAGCATAGTAAATGAAAATAATTGAAAGAAAATATACAAGATATTTTATTCAAAGAATATATAATAATCATAAAATTATTATATCCATCCCTTCAATAGGGCCATGTTTGTGGCTTTTGTCTTGAATAACATTATTTGATTTCAAGAAAAACAAGAGTGGCTATACTAATCTAAGGTATTGACCTAACGAAGACAAACAAGTACTATGATCCATTTTTGGAAAGAATATAATTAAGTCAAAGTTAATTGTGTTTTTTATCTTTTGGTTACTATTGTTTTTCTTGATAAAATTTAGGGCTAAATACAGTTTGCATCCTTAAACTATAGAAGTGGTAACACTTATCCCCTTAAAGTTACAAATGTAACACTTACCCCCCTCATTAATGAATTTAATGATAAAACTTTGAGTTTGAATGATGTGGCATTTTCTCTTCCCAAATTGTCCTTCTAGCTATTATATTGATGCATATATAATAAAATATTTTCAATAATATTTCAAAAACTAAATTTTATAAAATATAATAATTATTAAAAAAATATTTTGATTTATGTTTAACTCCACATTTTAATTACTATAGACCCTAATATAAATAAAAATCTCAATATTTTAAAAAACATATAAAAATACGTTAAACATTTGCAAGAAAAAAAATATTTTCAAGACTTAAATGGCCAATTTTTTTTATAATAATTATTGATTTGAAAATTTATTTTAGTTACTTAAATATAAATTTTAATAAAATAATATTTAAATATTTAGATGTTTAAATTATAATTTCTTATTAACTTTTGAATACATTTTGTGATTCTCAAAGTAAAAAGTGGGATGATTATATTAGAGTCATATACGCATTAAAATAACTATATAAACTATAAAATCATAATTAAAATTCGAATAATCGTTAACTTTTTATTAGCTATAAATGAACACAAGGTAAAACAAAAATAAACTAAAATTCAATTTTTTTCATTCATAAATTTACAAATATGGAAATAATAAAATTAAGTTTTGGCAAGGTTGCCGAATTTTTTATTATTACATATTCATTATTTATTTAATGGCTAGAAGGACAATTTGCGAAGAAAAAATGCCACATCATTCAAAGTCAAAGTTATACCTTTGAATTCATTAATGAGGGGGGTAAGTGTTACATTTGTAACTTTAAGGGGGTAAGTGTTACCACCCCTATAGTTTAAGGGTGCAAACTGTATTTAGCTCTAAAATTTATTTAATGAAAATATTTCATAAAACAGTATTGGTAAATGCCAGCTGTCTTTGATTTCATTTTACATGTAAAAGGGCTAAGGTGAAAGTTGATAATAGCTGTTGTTTTGAATGAAAAAAGTGGGTGAAATAGTAACTAGGAAATTGGTCAAAAGGACTTTATTGATATTGTATTAAATATATTAAATTTTTATATCGTATTTGATTTGTCTATAAAATATTTTATTTAATAAAAATTAATATATATTAATAAGAATAATATAGTATCAGATTTAGTGGATTCTATAAAATTAATCTCGGGGATGTGTGCTACTAGATTAATGAAATAGTAACAGTTGACTGCAAACTTTAAGCTTTGTAGCAGGTTTGAAAAGGTACGAATTTATTCTAATCAAACGTGTTATTAGCATCTCTTATTTAGTCAATAGGGTCTACAGACTAAATTTTCGGTTTTGGAATAAGTTTTCTAATCCCAATTTTCCGTTTTTCCTTTTTTTCAAAATTTCTTTTAACGAAATTGGAATTAGTCCTTACTTTCAAATAATGAGTTTTTTTTTTTAAATAACAATTCCGATTTGATCAGCTCGATTTTCACACCTTGATTTTTTTTTTTTTGATAATTAATTTCACACCTTGATTTGATTTCTCATTTTGAAACTATTTTCCCACAGTTGCATGCCAAACGGGGCCTTATGCACAAAAAAGCCCTAATTGCCAAAACCCTCCCTTCAAATTCAAAAATCAAAACCCCCAAATTGTGTACAGTAAAAAAACAACTAATCAACTAGCATTAATTCGTACCAGTAATGGCGAATTCCGCACCGTCTACACTTCTAGACGAGGCCCTCTACAGCAAAGGTGGCGCTTTTTTCTCCACCTCTCCTCGCGGCGGCGGCGGCGGCGGAAGGATGATCCTGGTGGAGGACTGCGTGGAGACCAGCGGAGCGTTTGTGCTGCACCACTTACTGAAGCGCTCCCTCTCCCCTTCCTCCTCAGACGTCGTCGTTTTCCTTTCATTAGCCCAACACTTCTCTCACTACGAACGCATCCTCCGCAAAATGGTAACCGATTCGTTTTCCAATTCTCCGTAAATTTTGAAAAAATATAATGTTGAAAAACCCTAATTGGTATTGCAATTTCTGAAACTAATGAATTTTGCTCAATTTGTTAGGGTTGCGCGCAACGTGATTTGAAGAGATTGGTCTTCATCGACATCCTTAATTTGGAGGGTCTTGGTATTAAATTTTTTGTGATAATTTTAAATGATACAGATTGTCACGTTCCCGAAAATTTAATCGAATTGTTTTGTTTCTACGATTAGATAGAGACCAACGAGGAATTAGCGAGGAGATACTTACTGCATTATACGGAAAAGTTCAGAAACAAGTCGAACTAAATTATCAATCCCGTGAAGGAAATCATGTTACTCTAATAATCGATGATGTATCTCTAATGGAAGTTGATGCTAACGGCTCTTCGAATCTTGTCCTGCACTTTCTGCATTACTGTTGTACTTTAACAGCTCAATTCGTAAGCATTCGTAACCATTTTTTTTTATGACGAATTTCTCTGTTTTTGACTTTGCTCCCATTTATGAAGATGTTTTGACTGTTGTGTTGTTAACTAGGGGTGTTCGGTTATTGCTCTGAACCATTACGATGTGTATTCGAACGTGGATCAGCTTAACCTGCTTATAGAATTGGAATATCTGGCAGATGTACGGATAAAGGTGGAGCCTTTAGCTACTGGATTAGCAAATGATGTCCATGGACAGGTAATAATAATTCTTTTAAACTTCATAGGATTATGTTATCTTTTATTCAAGTAATTGTTCTTTATTTTATTTTATTTTGCTTTTGATTTCACCATTATCCATGACTCGTTTTCGTTTAGAAATTATAATGAACATGAAGAAAAAGAGGGTTCGGTTTCATATTATGTTAACTTTATGATGGTGTTGATATTTTGTTTGGTGGTAGTTGACTGTTTCGAACAAAGGAGGACTTGTTGAAGATGGATGCGGAAAGGTTCATAATTTCCAATTCAGGATCAAGGATAGCGGTGTTGAGTATTTCTATCCTGGAAGCAAATCTTGAATTCATTAGTTATTTAGTTTCATTTAACTAAATCAGAAGATTAAATGACGGAATCACGAAGGGTTTTTTTGAAGTGCGAGTAGAATCAAGTTTATCTATCAGAAACATTGAAGCCGATTCGACTTTTCTCGTGACGTGTACGAGCTAGGAAATGAACCTCATCTAGCAATGTCAATGTGCCCTTTGTGTTTCTTGTTTTTTCTTCTACATTTTAGGCAATCGGTGTTTTCCTTCTATACGGTGTGCAGCAGCTCAATAGAAGCCTTGTTTTTTTTCGGTTTTATCTATTGTTTTACTTGTGAAATTTGGGCTCTTTTTATGTTAAAAATTGCATTTTTTATTATTATTACTTCGCTAATAAAATTTATTGCTAAAATGATATGATTGGGATGTTACGTATATTTATATATATATTTCTAGAGAGAGTGTATTTGCGAAGATTTGAAATTGAAAAAATACATTTAATTTTTTTTGATACCCAATACTCAAAAGTTGGCGCTGGGAATGGGCCAAACTCGAAGAATGAAGCCCATATGATGATCCATTTTTTTTTTACAAAAATCGATTATATACAAGTGTAAATTACGGTCACTCCCGAGATAAAGTCAAATTACGAAAATACCCTCTTATTCGATAATTACAACCACCCCTCAACTATGAATATTCTTTCACATCCATCCTAGTGGTGTCAAATTTAGTGAAATCCTCTAGATTATGTGGAATATTCTCCAATTTTCACTCATTTTACCCTATTCAAGAAACAAGATGATCATAAGATGTGTTTCTTAACTAGAAAATATCAGATTGTGGTGCATCAGAAACTGCATTTTTGCACAAAACGAATACAAACTAGAGAACATTCCACGGAATCTAGAAGATTATGTTGAATTTGCACAATTGAGGATGGACGTGTAAGAAGATTCATAATTGAGGAGGGTAGTTGTAATTACCCAAACATAGAGGTTTTTCGTAATTTCACCTTATCTCAAGGGGTTGGCCGTAATTTACCCTATATACAACGATAACAACTAGAAAAGTCAAATAGATTTGACAACATTTAATGCAAAAACCTCATATATCATAACACAAAATAATTTGTTCAAGAACACAGATTGGCACCTCTCCCATGATCCACTAATATAAAAACATTTGACAAATAAATTACATGTTTAAATATTAATCATAAGCTAGACTGTGCACAAACCTATAATAGACTTGTAATAAAACCATACAATAAATCATTGTATAACCCTCCTTGAAAGAATATAGTACATTTTAAGGGACTACTTCTGCAACTATTATTATGCACTTTAATAATTTTCCACAGGTATTCGATGAATTCACATGCAAAGAATAACTTACTTACCTATAAGATATTGCAAATCAAGCAGCAGCTGTTCTTGTGTCTTCGTGGTCATCGAGGTTTAAAGCTCGAAGCAACTTCTGCCATGATTCTGGAATTCCTCCGGGAAGATCGAACTCCATTAGCTTTCCACGACTTCTGTAGAAATCCTCAACGGGTCGACTCTGAAATTTCATGATTTTTAAGTATTATTATAACAAGTTGAAATTGATGCAATTAAATTAAATTGGAAGGATCGGATCGGAACACTTTCCGATAAATTCCATTTTTTTCCGGAAGTGAAAAACCAATTTCAATTCCGTTCCAAAAACAAACTATGAAAACTCAGAAATCAGTCAGAAATTTCCGGATCGGAATCGGAGGAATTCGAAAATTCCATTTTTTTAGTGACTTGTAGCATAAAGTATATAATAATAATGACATTATAAGTATAATTTTTGGAAAATAATGGGAAATCGGAATCTAATATGTTTTCCAATTTCACTCAAAACAAAAAGTCTGAAGTTTCGGAATTTGGAATGAAAAATGTTGTGCCAAAATTCTAAATATTCGGATTGCAATGAGCGGAATTCGATTTTCTTTTATTCCAATTTCCACCCCTAACTACGGGTGTTCGTTGCAGACAAAAATATGGAACTCTTATCTAGAAACTAATCAGAAGAGTTAAAGATTAAGTATATCAGGAAATTTCGGATAATGGAATGAATAACAAGAATTATTACCATTTCATTATAGACTCGAAGACGTTCTTTAACAACTAATTCAGTGTCATCGGCACGTGTGATTAATTTCGATTCACATTGTGGAGGAGGAAGAAGGGGAGGCATATACATTCTTGGATTTCCATCTTCGGCCTTTATGTCAATGCAGGCAACATTATAGTTCCCTTGGCATTCACTGCAAATTCTTCTTCCAAGGCATTTTGCAATTAACGCTTCTTCTCTAAGTTTCAGATTTATCACCAAGTCTATATCTGTTACTCCCTCCAAAATTTCCTGCATCATCATGCCAGGTACGAAACATATAATTACTATAAGATTGTTTCTTTTTTTCCTGGAACATAACAGTTTAAAAAGAATACCAAACGGAAAAATAAAAAGTAAAAAATCTCTTAGGTTGCAATTGGATGGAAGGATTTCAAATGACTTGAGAATTCGAAATCCAGCTTAAGAATGTTCAAGAATCGTAACACCACCACTTGATTTAGATTTCAATTTGCTATTACAGTTTTGGAATCCTTAACTTCAAATCTTTGTCAGTTCAATGAAGCCTTAATCTTATTATGAAGCCCAAGGGTGTTAAAGAGTATACTAGGAGAGAAGTGTACGCAAGCATAAATGTAAAAGTCGAGCCACAATCAACAGAGAACAATAGAGCTATTGTGCGTGATAATTTAAGTGATTGAAAGAATCAATAGTGGATCATATACGGACGGTTGAAAGCCATAAAAAAGCATCCATAAATATCAGATTGATTTGATTAAGGCTGGTATTATTGTCCAGACAAATTATAAAAGCTAGTCAATAAGTTATCTCCAGCTGAATCCTAGCTTGCACTAGGTTATTATCTAAGGTATAGAAAATTGCATGAAAACCGATTTTCGTTTTCCAACACACACACACACACACACACACACACACACACACACACACACACACACACACACACACACACACACGCACAACACGCAACACGCAACACACAAAGCTAATGCTTACCGCCTGTCTTACAGTCCGAGGAAATCCATCGAGAATAAATCCAGTCTCCCCCTTAACAAGAGCATTTTCAAGACGTTTGGAAAGAAGATCTATGATAATCTCATCCGAGATTAATTGCCCTTGGTTAACAATCTCTGCAAGCTGTACAAGGAGAGAGAACAAACGCAGGTAAAGCAAAAACATTAATAAACAAAACATAAAGAGGAACAAGCGATTCTAATTCGACTTCAAGAACTCTCAAACCCAAACGTTAAACTGCAGTTAGAAGTACATTTCAAGCTAATTACTGAACCCCCTTTGTTCTCCCACCATAATAACTATCATCTCTCAAAACAGTGGTTTCTAAGGGCATTTTGAAGATGACTCACATACCCTAACAAAACTAAATTAATAAAACATTAAAATTAATAAATAAATTACACAGAAAGCATAATTAACATCATTTCGCGAGTGTGGAATGAAAAGCAAATTAACAACAGGATCGCATAGAGAGAGAGAGAGAGAGAGAGAGAGAGAGAGAGAGAGACCTGAGGAGAGAGGGGACCACGTGACGACAGCTCCTGGCGGACGAGATCGCCGGTGGCGATGTGGGGAACGCCGAGGAGAGTTGAGAGGCGGGCGGCGTAGGTGCCCTTGCCGACACCGGGGCAGCCGAGGAACACCCACTGGACATTTCTGCCCTTGCCGTTGGAATTATCAACGGGTAGGGCTGAAGAGAGAGCTGAAGAAGCTCTGTGCAGATCGGAGTCGGTGGATTTAGTGCAGAAGCTTCGAAGTGATGCCGCTCTTCTGCATATAAGGCGGCTGAAAACCGCCATTGAAGATCAACGAAGAGAGAGAGAGAGAGACTGAATTTTTTGGGGGTTTGGTTTTGGAGTGTGGAAAAAGAGGTGGTGGGATTATATATAGTACTTAATTGAGAAAGGTTGACGAAGGAAAGCAGAGTGAATTGAGGCACGAGCAAAACTGTACAGAGAAATGAAACAAAGCACGTGTTGTTGTTTGGATTCGGTTCAATCAAATCATTTTTTTTTTTATTCTTTATTTTTTAATTTTAAATTAGTCTTTTGATGTGGTATTACTAGGGATGAAAATGGGACAATTCGAATCGAAATTAAAGCAGTTTTAGAAATCGAAAGTAAAAATGTGTTTCCAATTCTCTAACATAAAATCGGATGAAAAAACTTATTTCAAATTCAAAAAAAATCGGATTGAAATTTGGAAAATTCCAATTTCACGTTGCATAACGTATGTGATGCATAATTATATGGGTAAATTACGGCCACCCCTGAATTAGGGTCAAATTACAGAAAAATTCATCATGTTTGGGTAATTATAACCACCCCTCAACTATGAACTTTTTTACATGTCCATCCTTGTGGTGTCAAATCTAGAGGAATCTTTTAAATTACGTGGAATATTCTCCAGTTTGTACTCGTTTTTACCCCACTCGAACTCCATAGTTGGAAACAAGATAATCATAAAATGTGTCTCTTGACTTGTAAATATCAAATTGTGGTGGCATCAGAAACTGTATTTTTACACAAAACGAGTACAAACTAGAGAACATTCCACATAATCTAGAAGATTTTGTCGAAATTGAATCCATAGGGGTGGATGTGTAAGAAGATTCATAGTTGAGGGGTTCGTTGTAATTACCTAAACATAAGAGAGTTTTTCATAATTTAACCTTACTGTTAGAATCTAATTGGATTCTAATAAACAAGGGATGAGTAAAGACTTGTGCAACAAGTCCTTATGTACCGTGAAACACAAAAGGGAAGTCTCCTTGTTTACTCTAATTCTTTAATTTGTCATTAATTGTTTCTTTTATATAGGAAACTATCTTATTAATTAAAAAGATTTATTCTTAACTTAATGACTTGTGTAGAAGTCTTGTGAAAGAAGAATTCCTTCTTGCCATATATTACACACATACGTGTGATTTGTGAAAGAGAAAGAGATTTCTTTTATATATTGATATTTTTCTTGTTTGTCATTAATTAAGAATTATTTATTATAAGGAGTCTTCTATTAGGAATAAAAGTCAAGAATTCCTCTTACGTATTCTCATCTATTTCCATTAATTAGTATTTTGTTAATTGTGGAAATTAGATTAGATAAGGAATAAATATTTAGTTTTCTATATTATGAAATTCCTTTTCCTTCTTGACCATGACTCTTTAACCTAATTATTTTTCTTGTATAGGAAGATTCAATCACATATAAAAGGGAAGACATTACAACGTGATTGAGTGCGGCTTTTTGGAGAGAAAGATTTTCTCTTTTCTGTGTCGCTCTTCCAGCGCCTTTTGTTGGAGAGAAAAATCACAGTTTTCTGCTCTTTTTATTTGCTGCGCTTGGAACATTTTTTTATCGAGAGAAAATATACAGAGAAAATATTCTTGGCTCTCGTTTTTATTGTTCCATCGTGATACGTGATTTTCATAGAAAATATATCGGCTTCAAGGCTTTGTGGTGAAGACACCAAGATTCAAGGAGTATCACCAGTTTGCTTCTTCTATATAAAAAGAAGATCGGTTCTTCGGGAGAGGGGCTCAGAAGATCTCGGGAGGAGATCGATCCACCGACTGAGGGATTCAGCGTTGAAGGGAGTTCAACCGTGCGGAGCAAGGGACGTGCTGCAAATTGAAGATTTATAATTCAGCGTAGTATACAAGAACGGCGTCAACAAAGAGGGAGTCTTTGTATTTTGATTAAGTCATAATATTGTATTCGTAAAACTAAAAATTAGTAAACTTTATTTGCAGGTCCCCGTGGATGTAGGGTACAGTTGTATCCGAACCACATTAAAATTTGTGTCTAGTTTATTTCTGTTTTTACGAACTGCTTCACGAACTGTTGCAACACTTCACGCAACTGTAACGAAAAACTAAATCTGACACAAATAATTTATATCTGCACGAAATAAATTCTAACACTTACCCCAGAGGTTGGGCCGTAATTTACCCTAGACTTTTAAACAACGCTTTCATACTTCCAAAACAAAAGGGGAAAAAAGTGAAATGAAAAGCAAAGCCAGTAATTAAACAATAAGCCTTGCATTTTAGCTAAAAACAATAATCAGTAATATATAAATACAATAATTATCTTCACACCCTACAGTAAAAGAAAAAAGTGAAAACAAATAACAGCAGCATTGGGGTAAAAAAGTGAATGTGAAGTTAAAAAAAATTGCAAATACACAAGCATATATTGATCGATCTTAGATTAAAAAAAAAACGGTTTTCCGTCACATAGAAAACACACACCGTTGGATAAACAAAAATCACCCAAATTAAGTCAAAGATCGTAACAGCTAAATGTCGTCTACTCAGCTGGTTTCATCCGAATGTCCATCGCCTGCATGCCTGCAAATTAAGAAGCCAATGCTACTTCATTTACTATAATACTTCATAAAGTAGCCAAATTTAATTTTTCTCCTCCAACATTCCATCGAATTTTATAGGTACAATTTCAAGAACCGGATTTTCGTACAAGTGTTTAAAAGAAAATTATATAAGGTGTTTTTAAAAAAAAAAAAAAAAGTCGGGTAAAAAAACAGAAACTTATTTTGGAATGTAAAAGTTTATATGTCCACGTTGTATCATTAATTGCAAGTAGATATCGAACATAGTATAGCAATAAATATCCCGACTATGGATCCGTGCCACAATAGAATTTTGGGTAGTTAATTCTTAATACAGTAGACTTACGCCTCGTTTGGTTTATAAGATAAGATTAGGCAAGATAAGAGTAAATAATCTAATGAAAACCCAATTGTATTATTGGATAATAGGAGGTTCGACAAATAATCCCCATGATAAAATAAATTTTCCGGGTCGACCCATAAAATTATTGGGTTTTACCAAACATAAAATCGAATAGATGCTTTTCATAAATCGAATTTGCCACAAAAAATAAAAATAAAAGTTCCAACAGTCGAGAAACGAACCTCCATGAAGTGGTTAAGTTACGAGCTTTTCTATCCAACTGCAGATTTTCCAAAGCAGCTGAAGCACGCACTACATCTTCAGGAAGTTCATCATTTTCATGTCTCCAATTATATTCATCTTTCCTATATCCAGACGAAGATGATCCACCTCGACGGTCTGAAAATTATAAGACAGTCAAGAAAATAGAAACACTTTCCAAACTAATGTTTCAAGAACTAAATTTAAAAAAATAAATTAATAATAATAATTCAAAATAACTTTTACTACTTACCAGATGATTGTGAAGAGGGATGTGCCCTGCAATGAGCAGCATCGTATGAAGAAGTTACGAATTTGAAATTTCAAACCCAATTTATCGAAGAAAAAAAATAAAAATAAAAGAATGTGATTATTGACAAATAAACCTTCCTAGTGGAGGTAAACCCCCAACAACTGACGAAGCAGAAGTTCTTCTCATATTTCGAGGGTCCAAATTCGATAAAGATTCGGTTTCTGGGGTGTTCATTCTTCTGTTACTACCCCTTCCTTGAGATAAATTCTGCAAGAAAACACATCAAACTTTTGAGGGAAAACCGACACAAAGTTACAAATCTACCAAGTCTCATCATTCTTAATTGGAAAACCAAAAAGGGGCTTAGAACAACTGCCAATGCTGCAATAATTGCAAATTGCAAGCCGAAAAAAACCAAGAAAAAAAAACCGGAGATGCTAATAGCATTTTCCAGACCTCGTATTTCAAGAACCCCTCAAGAACATCCAAAAGCAATGGCCCGCTATCTCCGTTTCGATTGAGATCGTAGCCATTTTTGCTGCTAAAATCTTTCAACTCTGTTTTCCAAGACTCTTTCGGCTGAAATTCATACATGAAGTTAGCAAAATGTAAGTAATAAACCCGAGCAATAATAAAAAAGTGAAAAACAAATGGAGAACGTACCAAATTACACTCGGGTAAGTAAACTTTCAGCGTATGGTTTAATTGAGCCCAATCCATGTATTCACATATCAATGCAGTTAGAAGCCTCCCTGCGATCATCAGAGAATAAAGAAAACAAATATCAGCTAGAATCTTTTAGATCGTTAAACATTCTTAAAGCAATAACGTCGAAATCAAGAAAATACCCGAAGGAGAGTTGTGGAGTTGTTTCGCACGATCGTTACAGCTACCCAAAAGTGCAGGAGGCAACCCTTCTTCTTTCTCAACAACTCGATCCTCCTCTTCTATCGCTTCGAAAACACTAGCTCTTAATTCAGCCTAATAACCAAGAAAAAGGTACAACTTTCATCGTCTATATCAAACCGACAAAAATGTATGTTTCTTCATCATATGCTACATTACTTTAATTATGAGAATATTAATACAAATAATAAATGTGTTAACAACGGAAATTCACACTTCGAAATAGATATACGATATCCTTCGATGCACAATGTAGACGAGATCAAGGGCAAACATGAATCATCAACAAAATCAAAAGGGCCTCTGCATTTTAACAACAATTGACTAAAATCCCAGCAAATTTTCTACAATTTCGAAGCAGGCAAATAAAACGCGTAAATAAGAAATTGAACCCTAGAAAATTGAAAATTGAAAATTGAAAATGAGAAGAGTGAAATGCTAACACGGATCTTGGCGAGGACGCCTTTCTTCTCGAGAGTACGAGTGACCAAGGTTTTCAAATCCATCATCTCTCTCGTGTAATCGTCCATTTTTCTTTCCTTGGATTAAATTATCCCGATTTTCTGAGGCCCTTCGTTCTTCTCAGCTCGACAATTGAAGGGCCCACCTGGTTTTTTTTTCTCTGGTTTTTTCAGGTTTGGGTTTTTTTGATTTTCTCAGAGTTCGAACTGGGAGAAGTAATGGCTGAGTAAATTGGTAAAGATCGAGTCTTTTTTTCTTTTCTTTTTTTCATTTTATTCTCTCCGGTTAATTCCTCTCCAGTTTGATGAAGTTTTAATGTAAGTCGCTTTTGTTTTTAAGCGACTTTAATGGTGAATATGAGAATCCATTTGCCTCAGTTAAAGAAAGACAATTGTGTCCCTGTTTTTATTCTTCATTTAATTTTTTTTAAACAACATTGATTTGGTGTAAATAAGTAAATCAATTACTGTATTTTCTGCTCAATTTTTTTTTTAAACTGTATTTGAATTTATCAAGATTAAGAGATGACTTCTGATTTTTTATTTATTTATTTTTTCAATCGTCTCTTAATTAAAGTTTTGCCTTTGGTCCATGAACTTCATTCACTTTGTATTTTGGTCCTTTATGATTGTCAAATTTAATAGTTTGAATGAAAATTGTATTAGAGAAAACCAAAATACACATACATGTCCATATAAAATAACAATTGTCGAAATATTAATTATCTCAAAAACTTCTCACATAAAAAAGTTAATTAGCTTTCAAATTAAATTAGTTATTTGCAATCTAGTTTATCAATATTTATAAATAGCTAAGAAATTTTCTCATACGTACAATAAATGATTTTTCTTTGTATGCAGTTATCTATTTTAATCCTTTTGAATAATTAGGCATGAATATATAAGGTCTATTTACGACCCCCCCCCCCCCCCAAGTTTTCACAATTACATCGACCTACCTGCAATTTTGTAGATTTCTTACATTAACACCTTTGTATGGAGTAGATGTAAGAAATTTACAAACTGCAGGGGACTAGATGTAATTACTAAAAAATGAGGGGTTTTTTCGTAGATAGACTTTACCTCAGGGAGTTGGTTGTAATTCACCCCTCTTTTATATTAGAACAGTACTACAAACAAATAAGCAATGATGAAAAGAATAACTTTTGTAAACAAATTAACATTGATGCAAATTACTTAAGAAGTTACCTATATAACTCAAGTTACATAGATTACAAGTTTGCCATTACGGTTTCGAAAAAACGTAAATTTCGAAACAAGTATGTTTGGCCTTTGATCAAGGGAAAGTAGAGCTTAACAAATGAAAATAAGTACTCTAAGATCCAACAAGAGCACATAGTACAGCATAACTAACAACTTAAACATGTTTTACAACTAATAATCAAAGTCTTGCAAGTTATAGAACAAAGCGTACAAAAAGCTCGTGGATGATTCGGAAACTTGATGATGTCTGTTAAAAATCGTTAAAGTTGGTAAGGAAGGAACTAAATAGTCAAGAAATATCTCCTATGTTTTTGTTTAGCCAAAGAAATTCTTGAATCGAAAAAGCTCGAGAGATTCGATCAGGTAATGACAAACAAACACAATTCATAGGGAAAGCAAACTAGTAATTTCTCATAAACTCGGAACCTGCTCAATCGATTAACTAAAAATTGCTTCAACGAGTGTAAATGGAGAATACATTGAACACAAATCAAGAAAAAACGGTCTCACACGAAATGAAAACAGAATAGTAAGAATCGAGAAATTTAATGCGAAAAAACATAACAGCATCCAATGTCAAGAAAATTCAAATTTTCTACGCCAGGAAACGAAATAAACCGAAATAAACGACACATGACATATCTAAGTTCACGAGAAGAATATCCCACATGCGATTCACAAGTTATACAACACAACACATCAAATACCTAAGAAAATCCTAACCCCACGGACCGACTAACAGTTCGTAAAAAGAAACGAGAAAAATAAACGGTTTTCGTTATCATCAAGTTATATAGCTTTCATCAAGTTGCTTTAGCTTAGTAACCCCCAATTGTATCATCAATTGTACAGAAAAAAAAT